TTATCATCGGGATGTTACAATCTCACTTGATAAAGCTTTAGTGACAACCTTTTTAGGATACATTTGTTCATGTTAAAATTAATCTATTTATTTGAAGATTAAGTTCGGGTCGGCTACGAACGAGATCTAATCTAGACATAAGGGGAGAGTCGGGGTTCTATATTAGATGTAATAGTTGACTCTTTGTCCCACTTGTAACAGTAAAGAATAAACTACTGAACATCTCTTCCTAGAATGTTCGTCGGGCAAGGAAATTAGAGTAAAGATTAATGGCTATTGGAATTAGTTTCCTCTCAGTGCTACCTTCGTAATTAATTGGTGCGATGGGACTACGCATAGATGGTTGAAGAAGAAAGAAAAAACGATGATGTAAGTCATTATCAATGTGTATTTGTTGTTTCTTTAGAGTCATAGGAATCGTATTGTCTTTAACAACAAGTTGACTTATATTAATTCTCTTGTTGTAGATGTGAAAGCTGTTGCTTTTTATTGGCTCAAGTGAGAGAACTTGGGAGGGGTTCAGGTTAGTTTGGGAGGAATGGGTTGTAGATATAATGTCGGTTGCTTTTTAACCTTCCACTAGCTTTTCGCTAGCGTTTCTTGTAATATTTCTTGTTGTTTTGATGAATAGATCCTCAAATGTCCAAAAGGTGATTGAGAAGTGCTTTATTTCATGAAAATGTATTTGATAAATTTTAGACTTAATTTTGTTTTGAACTATAGTTATACAAGATTATATGTTTTGTGTTTGTCTCTCTTTGAAAAAAATTATGGGTCTACTCTCTGTTAAATTGAATTATATCCTACTTCTTTTTCTATCTTCCTTGTTTCTTTTTGGGTTTTAGTTTTTTGCTTGACCTTCAACAATTTAAAAAAATTGGTAGAAAAAAAGAATAAAGGAAAGGTTTATATTAGATATACTAATATACAAATCTAATTTGCTTTCAGGGGCGGAACCAGTTAGTAGCCAGGGGTAGCCCGTGCTACCCCTCAAGTTTGTCTGAGAAATGTATTTTTTGTGTTAAAAAGAGATGCTACACCTAGATAATATATTGTGATACTCCTTAGCCCAGATTGTTGAAGACGAAGGGAAATGAAGATGAGAAAGAGGAGTAGTGAAGTCACACACGAGTTTCTCTACTTTACAACTAAAACTTATGACTTTTTTTTGCTCATCTTCTCAATTACAGATCCAAAACACGGTAGTTGCTTTACTTGCTTTCTGATTGTGTCCATATTGGATGATTATTTTTTATTTCCTCCTAGGAGAAATCATTAAATAGCTTTATAGATTATACTATATTTTATGAGTTTTTCATGAGTTTGATTGTTTAATCTGGGGTCTATTATGAACACCAAGTGTTTGATAAAACTCTTCAATGAAAAACATCCACAATCTTATAACTGGTAATTGGAAATTGAACTATATTAGTTTCTTCAAGCATCCATTCCAGCACCTATTGACATCTTTTATTTTGGTTTTGTTGCTTTCTGTTCTTCAACTGGTTAGTGATCTGTTTTTTGAATGATTCAAGTGTAGATTGATGCACATGTGACATTAATACTAAGCATAACTCTATATGTGGTAGGTATTGACGGGGCATAATCTAAACTGAAAATGATAACGAGAAATTGGTGAACATAATTTGTTTTAGTTTTAAGTATATGTTTGACTATAATGTTATGAAGTTAGGATACATGTTTATATTCTTAAATTTAGCCATCAATCATGGCTTCCTTAACGTTATAATTTAATCTTATTTTTTCTTTTGTTTAATAGGATGAAGACAATGGGGATGATACTTCCAGGTATATGTTTGTTGGATGAAAGTAGAGTTCCAGTTTTCATGACATTTTTATATACCTATAGTTATGCATGTTCACATTAGTCAAAGCAAGGGGGAAGGCTGTTAAGTTGCAACCGGTTAGAAATTAGGCAGGAAAAGCAGTTAGAGAAGTCAACCTGTTAGGTAAAGCTGGATTTTTTCCGATTTTACCCTTTAGGTCTTACGCAGAAAAAAATGTGCTATCCCTAAATATTTTTTCTGGTTCCGCCACTGTTTGCTTTGTAGTTGATGTTGTTCTCATTGTTAACATGTATTTCTGTTACGTACACCCTTATACTTGTTTTAAGACCAACATGCATGGTGTAGGCATATGCCAAAAATTAAGTCTTGTACACTCTTCATAGCAATTAACAAGGGTGTAGCCAATATATGGCAAGAGTGGGTCTTGGCCCACCCACACAAAATTAAGGTTATATATATATATATATATATATATATATATATATATATATATATATATATATATATATATATATATATATGGTTGTGATATGACATATTCCATTCAAAACTTGAAATTAGTAGAAGAGAATACATTGTTGTCTATATCATTTAGACTCAATTTTATATTATTTTAATGATATAAGACAACATCATGTGCAATTTAAAATAAACAATTTAGTTAAGAATGCATATATAGTTACATTTTGTTATGGTTTGAAGAATTTTGCCACTCATTTATATTTTTTATATTATTTGGCTTATCTTAAAATAAAATCCTGGCTACACCACTGACAATTAATTAGCTCATACATACATAGGCTCTGCTGAACATCTACTATCTTATACATATATTACCAAAACCCTAAGCCTAGTCCTGTTAAACAAATAAGGTGAAGAAAGATAGGGCCAAATAGTAATTCACCGCATGTACTTGATATTCTAATATATATCTTGTAAGTCTTTGAGATAAGAAGTAGCTCATTGAACGAATCTTTAAATAAATCGACTGGTGTATGGAGTCATATAGCGTATGACAGTAGGGGGAATCTTTAGCGGTCCAAATGGCCCTTAAGATATTCATATTATCCTGACAGGTCAGTGGAATAGAAGCTTTGAAGGAATGGAATAGAAACTGCATTATTCGATACTTTGAATAATTAAGTTATTAAATTAAAGGTTATTATAACTCAAGATTTCGACTGTGTGTGCATAGAATTTGGCAGGTAAATATATATAATTTTGAGCTTTTGCCGGTTTCCAAAGTCCACATTTACACAACTCAAAAACCCCAAATGAAAGCTCATTAAACAACGCATTAAACACCTCTTCTTGGAATTTTGTTTGTCTTTATCTGCTCATGATTATATTTTAAGTAAATAACATTTATTACTTTCATGCATCGATATATTGAAATTAAATGAGAAAATTTAGTTATTAAGAAATAGTTAATAATAGAGATCGATCATGATCCCAACAAACCAAACTAATCCCTTGAGATTCATCAATTTGGAATTAATAAACTACCCCCAAAAAGGGTTGCATGGATAGATGCATTAAAGTTCGAAATATAAGAGTCTTTTTCTCCCAAAAAGACCAAGAAATTAATAAGATTTTCATGGTTTTTCAAAAAGATAGCTTGTTTAGTTTTCAAATTCAAAAATTTCTGTTTTTGACTTATAGCAATATGTACTTCTAATTTCTAATTTTTTTTTCAACGACAAGCAAATATTATCAGCACAAAAGAGCAAATATTATTAGCACAAAAGAGAAAAAGAAACTTAATCGAGAAGCCTAATTCCGATTACAAGAAAAAACACGAGGTAGGAGAGATACACCCTATAGACCAATCAAATTTACATGATTGGACCTAATTTTTAATCCAATTGAACATGCTAATGCTTATAAAATGTGCCATCAGCATTACTGTTTAGATGACTTGTTGGGGGTAAACGCTACTGTAAAAGTGGGAAGTAGGTATTTAGACACCTTGGAAGCGATATCTAGAGCTTTTTTATGGACTATATGGAACTATAGGAATGACGTGATCTTCAACACCAATACTAAGGTCAAGAGTCCGTTAGCTTTAGCCTATGATGTCAAGGCTTTGGCTTTTTTATGGATTAGGAGTAGAGCGAAATGGGGTAGGAATTTGATTTGGATCTCTTGGGTTGAAAACCCATTGTATTGTACCTTGTAATTCCAGCTTTTAGTTGTTTTAATTGAAATCTAGCTGTTAAAAAAAAAATAAAAAAAATTCAGCATTACTGTTCTCCTTTAGTTTCAATAGACTAGCGTAGTTTGATGGCTTTCCAAAACAACCAAAGTGTGGAGTAAATAAGTGATATTTTCAAAATTAGTTTGATGGCTTTCCAAAACACCCAAAGTGTGGAGTAAATAAGTGACATTTTCAAAATTTTGATTTTTGTCACCTGTCTTTAGTTTATGGTTTAGCGAATCACTAACTAAGATTTTCAAATGTTTGATTCTTTTTATAGCTGGCTTTAGTTTTAGAATCTAGTTCTTTTTGTTATTAGAATGACTAACTCACATACTTATTACTCTGTAAACGTACGTACGCATTTCATGTCACACGTAAGACTTAAATTCCTAATCTTTGGTTGAAGGATATCTATCTATCATATTGTCAACTCCTAATACAGTTAGGCTACAATCCTTTTGACTCTATCTATTCTTAAATCAAGTTAATAGGATTCTCATTAATCGCATGGTAAAAAGGAAATTGGTATTAATTAATACTAGTCCATCGAATTACAAACAAGAAATACTTTAGTTGATTATTCAAAAAACAACATATATTAATTTTATATAAATAGTTAAAATGTATTAATTAAATGGATAATATGGATAAAAGTTTTACCTTAATGGTTTTCCAAATTTATTAACTAGTCTTTTTTCTGGAAGGAAAAATAGATAAACAATTCGATTATTGACTTAGTGAGAGTCTTTCTTGGTAGTTGTTTTTTTCTTCTTTCTTTTAATTTTGAAAGCATTATGTTAAATAATTTCTTTAGTTTCTCTCTCTAACGTACTATTTTTGGGGTTAATACAGCGAGATCCTTGCAAAAACCAGCTCTTCTTTAAGGTCACCTGAAAAAACGGCTGATCCTTCGGAGGCAGAACCCTATTGAGGAAGCATATCTTCCTCTTCAAATTAACTAAACTTACCATTCACTTTCATCTCCTTTTCTTCATGCTTCTTTCTCACTTAACCCTAGCTAGCTAAAACAAGAAAACCTAGTTTTCTCTTCATCTCGTCTGTTTTACTCTGATCACCTGTACGTACTTTTTTTATGGTATCATTTAATGGGTTTTCTTTAGTTAAGTAGTTTGCTTCGATATCAGTTTTGTTTTTGGGTTTCCAGATCTAAGTAAAAAGCTAGCTGCTGTATATATTCTTTCTTTCTGTTTTTGAGTAAGAGTTAGAGCTAAAATAGGTACGATAATGGAAGAGAGAAGTGAGAATGGTGATAAAATAGAGGAAATCATGTTGCCAGGTTTTCGGTTTCATCCCACCGACGAGGAGCTTGTTGGGTTTTACTTAAAGAGGAAGATACAACAAAGGCCACTCTCCATTGAACTCATCAAGCAATTAGATATCTATAAACATGATCCCTGGGATCTTCCGAGTATGATTCATGTTCTTGTTTTTATCGCATGATTTCAAGATTTTCTTTTTTGTTCTTTTGCAAGATTTGTATTCTCCTTTCTGCATGGAAGTTAACATGTCTTTAATTCTTTTAATCAACTTTAGAGTTGGCTATGACGGGAGAGAAAGAATGGTACTTCTACTGTCCGAGGGACAGGAAATATCGTAACAGTGCTCGGCCAAACCGTGTGACAGGAGCTGGATTCTGGAAAGCCACAGGTACAGACCGGCCGATCTATGCCTCTGAGGGTTCAAAATGTATCGGTTTGAAGAAGTCACTTGTGTTCTATAAAGGGAGAGCTGCAAAGGGTATCAAAACCGACTGGATGATGCATGAGTTCCGGTTGCCTTCCCTTACCGATCATACTGCTCCGAACAAACGTTTTCTTGAGAAAACCATTCCTGCCAATGTAAGTCCTTCATGTCCTCAAAGTAGATCGTATGTGTAATGTGTTATTAGCTTCTTAGAACATAGGAAAAAAAGTAGGCTAGTAGATAATAAATAATCAGTAATTATTCTTCACCGACTATCTTGATAGAAACCTCGTTTACACTTGGATCAAGAAACAAACGGTAGGGTTGTATGCCAGACTCGCTCGGTGTTCCACTCTAAATGACTACTACATCATGTATATTGAAAATTCAAATGAACAACTTTTGTTTTAGATATCGGTCTAGGTGACAAAAACGTGTGACCTTTGTGTGCATCAAGGCTCAAGTTGGCTTCACGTAAACCAACTGAGAAGGAATTGTTCATGTATGAAATCCGTTTCTTGGACATTGTCACAAGATGATTTTTGAGATTCGAACCCATGATACATTGTATAATGTAAAACGTTAGTTTAATATCTTCCTATACGTCATTTAATTACTAAGCTAATTATTAGCTCCGAAATATGCAGGACTCATGGGCAATCTGCAGAATATTCAAGAAAGCAAGCTCGACTGCACAAAGAACCCTCTCTCATTCATGGGTATCTCCAATCTTGCAAGAAACACCTTCTGACTGCAACATCCTTACTCAACATGGCATTTCTAGCAATGACTTACAACATTCATCCATCACCAACTTCTCTCCTAACCATACCGGAAGTAACAACATGTCTCTTTACAAACCCTTTAATATTAACCCAACACCCCCTACACTTACAACGACCACCAACAAACACCCACAAAATTCCATTTCTAGCAGTGAGCACCTAAATTATGCAACAAGTTATCCCTTTTTGTTCCAAGAACCTAATTACGGTTCTAAGTCATCAACAATCGATGCATCATCTTTGCTAGTTAACATACCTAATCCGATATTTGGAGATTTTGATAAACCAGAGGGTTTGGACTACATCACTAATGGGTTGCACCATGACCATCAACAATGTTACATAAATGGCGGTTGCTTCTCAATTACTACTTTACCAGTGGAAATGGAAGAAAACTCTGTCCACGGTGTTCAAGATCAAGAAGGAAGGGGTGGCTTGATAATGATGAAGGGTGCCACTGAGAGTGTAATCAATACGCATTTCGAGGACCAATGGGGGAGATCATCTAGTGGAGGGTACCCTTTCATAAGTTTGCCACTAGGTTTGCAAGATGCATGGAAATCTAGTTTTCTGTGTGATTCTTCTAGTGAGATTTCAAGTGGTTTTTCTACTAGTAACAAGTGCTATATATAACTAATTAGTTAGTGACTAGTTGATCAAGGGTTTGACATAGAATAGAAGCACTTTTTAGCTTGTTCTATTTCTTCTTGCAGTTCAGATTTCGAAGTTTTGTTTTAATCAATTAATTACGTTCATGTACTCTAGGAACTTTTTGAAGTTTATCCAATATATAATAGTAGCGTTTGATACATTTAACTATAGGATTTGCTTCATTAAGCAATATTAACATTTTCAGTTTGTATATTTCTTGTTGGTTTGCGTAAATGCCCTTTAGGGTTTCTGTTTTATTCGGTTGATTTAAATAGTACAACCATTAAACGTTATTTACACTTAGGACCTTACACTATACAAGGTAAGTATAAGAATACAAATAAGACATTTGTTTAACACTACTATCAGTAGCAGCAAGAGGTCCTATTAGCAGCAACGGGTAAGCATTAGCGGCGAAGACGAAGCAATAGCGGTGACTTACAGCGTGACACGAATTTACAGCCGTTGAATTAATCAAATAATCAAGGACCAGGGTGCAATCTTACAGTTTGACGACGATCGGTGTCGGGGTCTGAACACAATAGTGACGAAACAAACCGTGAATGTTGTGTGTCGCCGCTAATAGTGGTTGCCGCTGTTAATGGCGTCGCCGCTATTGCGTCTTTTTCTTTAGTGTTAAAGTGTTTCAAAAATCAAGAAATAATTGTGTTGGAATGTCATTTGTAAATATTTCAACAAACTTGTGAGCAGATGGAACATGCTAGGTGTGTACGTCACCAAAGTCAACATATTCCCTAACAATATATGAATCTATTCCATTAGAAAAAAATGACCTAGAATCACACTTTTGCTGAAACAACTCTGCTATACTTTTGATTATTTCAATAGCTAAAGGTCATTAATAAAATTCTAATATACTTTTAGCTACATATTTCTATGATTATTTTTATTTGAAATGATAAATATATGTATGGTTACTTGAAGCAATTGATCATTTGTCTAAATCATAGTGCGGAATTAGACATGAATCTGGTGTAGCTAAAAGCTAATACATATGGCCACATAAATTATATGTTTGTCTAAAGGGTACTGATTATTAGCTACTTAGTAAAAGATTAAAACTAGCAACTACAAGTATTTTATCGTCGAGGGTTAATTTCTTATGAGAGTCTAAACATAAACAATTGTCATGTTAAAAAGAAAAAATTTGTGAGTGTAAGTATTGTATGATTACGGTGTATTTGCTTTTGTGTTTCTAAAAATTAACAATTCTAATGATAAAAGAAGAAAACATGTGATTATAAGTAATGTATGGTCATGGTTTAAGGAAAAAAAACCGTATGATTATAAATATTTTATGGTCACGGTTTACGGGAAAAAATCTTCAACTATAAGTTTATGGTGACGGTTTAAGTTTTTATGTGCATTTAAAAGTAAACAATGGTAATTTTAAAACAAAAAACATATGACCATTACTAGTTAATGGTCATAGTTAAATTTCTTATGTATGTTTAAACATAAGCAATTGTCATGTTAAAAAAAATAAAAATTTGTGAGTGTAAGTATTGTATAGGTACAGATTGAACTGTTTATGTGTTTAATAGTAACAATACTAATGATAAAGAAAATTAAAAAATATGACTACAAGTAATTGATGGTCATGGTTTAAGAAAAAGAATGTACGACCATAAATAATTTATGCTTACAGTTTAAGGGAAAAACTTTGGACTATAAGTATCTTATGACGACGGTTTAACTTTTTGTATGTGTCTAAAAGTAAATAATGGTCATGATAAAACATAAATCATATGAATATTAGTAGTTGATGATTACAATTTAATTTATTATGTGTATCTAAATATAAAAAATTGTCATGTTAAAAAGAAAAAAGTTTTGAATGTATGGTAAATTTTCATGGGTAACAATGTTATCATCCAAAAATTTTAGTACTTACTTGCAACAAATATATATTTTACAAAAGCAAACATCATCTTCAACTTAAGACCATATTCTATAACTTAGAGAAGAAGAGTGATGAATATTTATTCGTGAAAACGATTTGCACCCATATTAGTTATTCACCTCACAATACAAAGACGACATACAAAGATGAAAATATTGTTGGATTAGTGTCTAAGTCTATAACTATTTTGGTATGTATTTGACCCGATTATGAGCATGGTCCTTTTGGGTTGCCTTCACCATAGCAATATGTAAGATGAATTAAGGAGAGAAAGGTTTAATTATGATTTGTTAATATATTATGAGAATAATATATTAAAGGAGAAATCATATTGTTTAATTAATATTAGTCAAGAATTAATTAAGAATTAATTTTGTGGCTAAAAGAGATTAATTAAACTTAGGGGACTGGAATTGTAATTATAGGATAATTGCAATTGGGTTATGAATCACCTTGGAATATAGGTTGGACGAATTATATGGGGAAGCCCATTAGAAATCGTCCAAGGCATGTTCCAGAAGGGGTCCATGGGCTGCTTAGGGCTTAAGCAGTCAAATTAGGGTTTCCTTGTTAGATAACCCTAATTGCCTACCTATTTAAAGAATCCTTGAGACCCAAAAACGTGGGAAACACTGGGATTAGGGTTTCCAACCGTTTTTGGTGTCTACTCTCTCCTCCTTCTTCATCCAAATTGCTCAGTGGTGTTTGTGACTCCATTAGAGGTGCAACACTTGAGGCACTAAGCTTTCTGAAGCCAAGGAATTGATTGTTATTGCTACATAACAATCAAGGTAAGATCCAAACCCTAGTTTACATGTTTATTTGATTAATTGTATGCTAGATCTAGGGTTTATAAGTCTTGGAGGTTTATTGCATGTTCTAAGTAGAAAAACTAGATCCAAGCAATTAGGGTTGCATGAACACCATAGGAATGTTGTTATGCTCAAAAACCATCAGTGGTATCAGAGCCTAGGTCGTTTTTCTATTGAATAGAAGCATAATTGAACTGCCAAAGACCTGAAAATCAAAATTTCTTGCTGTCTGCCTGATGAACTCGCCGAGTTGCTCTTAGAACTCGACGAGTAGCTTGAACTCGACGAGTTCCAAAGAGGACTCGACGAGTTGGCTGTTCAGTTGCCGGGTTTTTCGAATTTTTGGTCAGATTTTGATGTGGATAATTACCAAAACTCGTTTTTATTGCCTAAAATCGATTTTTTATGTTTGGAATGATTATCCTTATCAAAATTGATGGATTTGGTTAAATTTGGATAATATAGGATTATTATAAGATAAATATTTGACCTAGTAAGTTTGAATAGTTTCAAATTACTCCCTTTAGGTTTTATAGTTTAAATTTGAACTTAAAAGTTTTGTTTTTGAAATTTAAATAGTTAAACCCTAATGTTTTGAAAAGTTTCAAAACTTGCCCTCAAGTTTTGGAATTTAAAATTTTGATTAAAAGTTTAATTGAAATTTTAAATTCTAAACCCTAAGTTTTAAAAAGTTTCAAAACTTGCCCTCAAGTTTTGGATTTTAAAATTTAATTAAAAGTCTTAATTTGAAGTTTTTAAAAATCTAAAACTCAAGTACTTTGAAAAGTTCAAATTACACCCTTATGGTTTTATTAATTAATTAAAGTGTATAATTAAAAGAGATTTAATAAATCCATAAAGTTTTGGTTTACATTTAATTAAATTAAAAGTATAATTTATTAGATTAAACCACCTAGTATTTTAAAAGTGTAAAATACACCCTATACTATATATAACATTAAAAGTCTAATATTATATATATGTATGAGTAAACAGTCAGTCTTACCGTTAGTAGGCCTCATTCACGAAGCTGGTCTATAAGGGGTGTTTAAGGAAATTGCCTATAAAATGACGATTGAATGGGTATCCACTCTTACCCACCGCACTCTTGACTAGTGGAGGGTCGTTAGCCGAACGGGTAGGATAGGACGAAACCTTCCATTATAAGTATAATGAAGTACGAAGTAACTACATGCTTTTACAAATTCCCAAATCATAGTTACTTTAGGAAAAATGTGGAATTGTATGCTAATCCATGGAATTACACTTCGTACCCTTGTCGAAACGTTAGTGGAGCGTGTGTGGTTAACCGGCACACTAATTTGGGTTTGGCATTGGTGGCGAAGGGTGGCTCGATGTTTATTATAGATCAATGGAGCGTGCGTGGCTAACCGGCACATTGATTAGGTGATAGTAGCAATTGGGTGCACCACGTGATTCGTATGGTTATTCACACCTTGTTTGTGATCCTCGGCATCCCAGTCGCAAACTTGAAGGGCATAATCGAGATTAAACATGCCATTGAAAAGTTCAATGAATCTCAAAAGATCTAGGAGTTTCAATTCATTTAAAACTTAAACGTCTTTTTCGTTTTTCATGGTGGAAATTGGTAAATCGTCATTTACCTACCTTCAAATATTCTGCAACTAGATTACGGCATCCCTCTTCTAGGTTGTAGAGTATTGTGTTGGATCCTAGCCTTGATGTTTCGTTTGGGTGTTACATCAAGGATTCTAATCAACTTGACTTGAATTTTCTCCGTTTTGTAGATGTCTGAATCTAACAATGGTCTTCCTAAATCCATTGGAACAAGCTTTCCAAATGAAGATGGCGTTCCAAGATACGATCAAGGAAATGAGAGTCATACTTCACTTCCTCCACCTCCTCAAATTGTTCTCCCTGACCCACAAGTTCAAAGGCTTGAAAAGTTCAAGCTCACTCAATCCCTATTGGCAAGTAAGCACGAAGATGGAAAACATGTGTGTGCACACGTCTTAGAGATGAAGTCACGCATTGATAGGTTAAGGATGTTGGATTTCGATATCTCAGAAATGTTGGCTGTTGACTGGGTTCTTCAGTCACTTCCTAAATCATATAGTGAGTTCGTTAGAGAGTACTATATGATGGACCATCACGTGACCCTCATTGATTTGACCTATTTGCTTATAGCTGCTGAATCAGAAATGATTTGGCGTGTTGATCGAGCAAATTTGTCTGGCAAATCAAACTCCCAAACTTCAATGGACATTGAAAATGGTGACATTGGAAACTAGAAAAGGTAAATTCTGAGATAGTTCCTTGTGTCATTCCAAAAGAGTCCATCTGCTTCTATTGCCAAGAGAAGGGGCATTGGAGACGAAGCTGCCCTATTTACCTGAGAGATCTGAGAGATGGGAGAGTCAAGACGTATGGCTCTACTTCA